ACCGGATTGATCCAACAGGTGTGTGATTGGTTGCGAATCGCGCAAAGCCATCAGAAGAGTTATGCAGACCGACGACGCTCGGATCTCGAGTTTCAAGTCGGGGATTTCGTGTTGCTGAAGGTGTCTCCCTGTAAAGGGATTATCAGGTTTCGGAAGCGCGGTAAGTTGGGGCCTCGGTTCATAGGCCCGTTCAGGATTACAGCCCGAGTGGGAAAGGTGGCATATCGTTTAGAGCTTCCAGAGGAGCTTAGTTAGATACACAATACCTTCCATGTGTCTCAGCTTCAGAAGTGTATTGCTGACGAGACCGCATTTGTTTCCTTGGACGACATTCAGGTGGATGGGAGCCTAAATTTTGTCGAGAAGCTGGTCTCCATCTTAGAGAGGAAAGACAAAGGGTCTTCGTAACAAAGAAGTGAAGTTGGTAAAGGTGCAATGGCAGCACCGGAAGGGCTTCGAATGGACGTGGGATCCAGAGGAGGGGATCTGGGAGCATTACCTATCTGTTCACAGCTGCGGACTTCGAGGACGAAGTCTAGTCCAAGTGGGGGAGAGTTGTAACACCCAAAAATCAGGTATGTCTTGAAACCCTAAGGAAATTATATTTTGCATGGATGGTCCCTTAAGTACGTTGGGCGTACTTAAGTGTATGCTTGGCATACTATGCATGGCTGGTCGCGAGGAGAATTGTGGTATGGTGGGGCGTACCAAGCCTTATGCAGGAAGTACGCACCAGAGGTGCAAAACCCTAGTTTTCGAACATGAGGCCTATTAAGCGATCTTAAGTCCCTTGGACTTAACCCCAGAGAGCCTCCATAGCCTTAGAGTGTCCTTATACCCCATAGAACCTTGTGAGATCATTCTTGAGCTTAAAACAGTGCATTTGTGACCTTTTAGTGTTCATTACAAGAAGAAGAAGTGGTCAAGCAAGTTTGGAATGTGTAGGTGCTTCAAGATCCCGCATCAAATTCACCTTAAAAAGCTTTTGGAGGTAAAAATTTTGCACCTTTCCATCTAAATCCTTAGATCTAGCTAGGCTTTTCTAGTTTTGTCCATTTGGTTGGTTTTGGACCTCTTTTGATGAGTTAAGCAACTCCATAAGATGAGGATGGTAGATCTGAGGTCCCTTGGTCGTTTAGAAGCATAAAAATGGGGATCTTGATGGATGTATAGGTCTCATGCATGGATTAAGGACCTTGAAAAGGTCTTAATGGAAGTGTTGGACGTTTATGAGGCATGCAAGGGCATAAAGGTTGCAACTTTATGCCTTAGGACGTTTTAGCAGACCTAGATCTGACTTTTGGTCATGAGGAAATCGAGCATTAAGCACTTAATGGAGAAAGTGCTTAAATTGGTTGTATGTGGGGCGTAACAAGTTGTACACTGTGCGTAGTCCCCAAACCCTCAGTACGTTGCGCGTACCAAGATGGTATGTTGGGCGTAGGCAACAACAATTAGGCCCTAAACTGTTTTGGGCCTTTGAGCCTTTGGGCCCATTTGGTTAGTGGGCTTGATTGAATTCTGTAAATTAAGGGCTTGACATCTATTATGGGCCATGGATTTAATGGTTGGGCCTTTTGGACCAAGAGGCCCATTAAGGATTTTGGACATGGACTTTTGGGCCCATTAGTCCTTGAGTGAGGAATTGGAGGTTGGGTTTTCCCCCTTAGTTAATTTAAAGCCCTAATGTTGTTTATGTTATTATTATTATTCAGCTCGGGAAATTACGGACTGTTAGGAGATCAGTTTTTATATTCAACAGACTGAGGTGAGTCTTCTCACCATATCTATGGGTTTAAGGCACCAAGGTCGGCCCATTATGTGATCATGGTATGTGTATGATAGTTATTTTATGATTTATCATGTTATGTGATTATATGGTTGTGTGGAAGACCCTGGGGGAGCGCGAGGCATTGGATATAAGACCATGTGGGGTAGATGATGGTACTCCTCGGTAAGTCCATGTGGGGTAGCCTATGACATTGGATGTAAGACCATGTGGGGTAGTCCATGGCAGTCCTAGGTAAAAATCATGTGGGGTATGTGTATGTGGATTGTGTGTGGTATGCTCTGGGGAACTCACTAAGCATTTCGCTTACATGGTGTTGATTTGTTTCGGGTACTTCAAAGCCTAAGGGCAAGGGCAATGCGTGATGGCGCGGCGTGCACTCTATCTCTCTTTTATTGACACATTTTGGGACACTCTGATGACTTAAAGGAAAAATAATGATGTAATGGATGTTGTTTTGAAAACGGATGTTTTGGGAATTTATGGTTTATGCAAATGATTGTGATTAATTAAAAATGAAAAAAAATTAATATGAAAATCGGATCGTTACATAAAATTTAGTAGTAAACCTAGAACTAGTTATGGAATCGTAATTCGTAATTAGTCTGCTACCAAATTTTATATAGAATATAAATACATGTTTATTTTGCTACTGGAATTACTACGGAACTAAATACTAATCTATTATGCTACATAATGATATTTCATAGCTACTATGTTATGAAATATTGTTACATAAATGAATTTTGTAGCTATTTTGCTACGAAATAAAATTACATAGGTATTAGACTACAAAATTTTGCTAAAACTGAATTTCCTAGCTGTTTTGCTATGTGGGAAAATCCATAGCAATTTTGTTATGGAACTAGATTATTTAGCTAATTTTCTACGTAACGAAATTTCATAGGTGTTTTTCTACAAAATGGTTTTACGAAATTATAATTCATAGTTATTTTTCTATGACATGAAAATCCATAGTTTTGCTACAAAAATTTGTTGTGAAATAGAATTTCATAGTTGTTTCACTAAGAAATGAAATTTCGTAGCTATTATGCTACAAAATATAACTACAAAATTAAACATTGTAGCTTTTCATCTATAGAATGAAAATCCATAACTATTATGCCTCCGAAATTTGGTTATGGGATTACGTAACCAAACAAGATTATTCTCTTAGTCCTATCTATCCATATCTCCATACACAATATCTTGAGTACCTATAATGATCACCACATCCGCTGGCATTGATGTTTGGAGATGAGTCAATGTCAAGTGCTCTGATTTTACGTTGGTAAGAAAAATAAAACTGAAATTTTATAGCTATTCTATGAATGAAAACGACAATTGTTCTGCTAGATAAGAAACCTATTGAAATGAGAGAATGAGATCGTGAATCAGTTAGGATATGAAAAACACACCCCACATTCACTTTAACCACAACCTCCCATCCCACTTAGGACAAATGAATTGATTTTGGTCCTTTGTCGACTGTAAGTGACTATTTAGTCTTAATGTTTTTTAATTCCTTTTTTTGTTTTTTTGTAATTTATTAAAAAATAAAAAAACACACACCGTTTCACCCTAACCCCAACCATCCATCCCAATTAGGACAAATAACATAAAAACCCTTGAGTTTTGCAGAAATATATATGGATTTTCCTTTTTTTGTATTTTAGGTTCATTAAAGTCCGAAGGTAAAAAAAAAAAAAAAAAAATTCAATTTTACCTTTGTCCGTATTTCTGAATCATTATAGCCCTTACGATTGGAAGAAATGTTCGGTTTTACTATTCTTTCCGGTTTATTTATGTCAAACTTAAAGTTTTTTATGTCATTTATCAAACCATTGAGGTATTCTTTAGACTAGTTCCAAAACGTTGGTATTATTTATAAAAAACTATGGGTTGTTTTTTTTTTCTTTTTCTTAAAAAAAAAGCACTAAGGAATCTATATATATTTGGGATTTTAGCTGAAAAAACTCTCGTCGTTGCATGAGTTCTTTCAAAAATAAAACAACTTTTCAGTGGTTTTTTCGTACATAAAACGATTTTCCAATGCCTTTTTTTTTTGGAGAAAACATTGTTTTATGTAAATATAATGAATATATTAAGGAATTTCCCCACATAATATTGATTTTTCTACCCGTTTTCATTTTATTTCATTTCTTTTACACAGAGTTTTTGATAATACTCATCTTTATTTTTTGCTAGGTAAACATTCAAATGAAAAGAAAAATAACTTACAATGTTTGAAGACGACTCGGTTGATGGCACAACATGTTTATCTTTTTTATATTATTAGTTTTATTTTCTAACGATCGTGGCATAAATTTTTTTCTTGATGATGGTGTAAGGCCTAAATTTTGTTCATTTTAATACTTCAGTTATGAAGATCTAATGATGGTGATCAATGGATGACGACTATTTGTGAAGAAAGACCATACCAGTGAATAATGAACATGATTATTATAGTTTATTTGCTGTTGCTATTTACGAATTGTATACTTTTAACTTTGCGGTGATTGAGTTATACCTATGTCTTTTTAAATTTCTTTTTAACAAAACATGTAACCACCATTTTCATATTTCTTACTAAACACATACACAACGGGTTCCATACCCTTTGACATGGATTCCTTCACCCCAAACCCATCAGGAATTAGACAGGACTTGGTCAGAGATGAGAAGCATGAGGGTCACATCGCCTACAGTTTTCAATCTAATTAACTAATTTTTAATTCTTCTAAAGGATTTCAAACCAAATGTCCCTAACGTCAAAGTATCTCATTCTAAGATGCTAATCATCAAAATATGGTTAGAAAGAAAGGACTATCACCTTAACAATTTTGTATATATACTCTAAACTAGTTATCTAGTTTAACAACCAAATTTAACGAGTTATATAAGAACATAGCATAGTTTTATTCAATATTCCTCCATTCAAAAAGTAATCAAATAAATATACATCTTCCAATCATGATCCAGGTAATTTACCCAATAGATGATGGTTTTGGGAAAACCCCATGTATAAGTATGATATTAGATGGTAATGTACACTCTCACAATACATCTCAAAGATACCGTATTTGTAACCTTGAGCAGAGGGCTGTACAAAAAATATCACAAAGAAAAACAACCTATCACCACCTTATTGTTCTTGGGGTCTAAAAAAAGAATCCAGGAAACCTTTTTTCCAATAAAATCCCAAATCATCTCAACCATCTATAGCATCCACAGGAAGAGAAGTTGCCCTATGAAGAGCTTGAGGAAGCAAATAATTGTCCTCAAAACTTGTCTCTTCGCATGTCCCATCATTTATAGGAAAAGAAACAAAATGTGTCCCCGAAGCGAACGATTTTAGTAAATGATCATCATCCTTGTGTTCTATTGAAGATGACGATTTTTCTTTTGTATGTTTACTAGAGCTAGAATAAACTTTTGGAGCAAGTCCTAGTTGTTTATCTCTAAGCTCCCTTAGCTCCATCTGATATTTGGCCTTGAGCCATCTGAGTTCTTGTCTAATTTCATTTTCATAATCATCTGCAAAATCCTGTTGTTCGTGGGGAGTAGTTTCAGTTTCCTCCAATACCTTTAACTTCACCGCCTTCAAAACTTCTCGTTCTCCTGGTTCGTCCTCCGTACACGATTGATATTCACTCGTGCCCATTTCTGGTCCCTCGTGATGAGCCCATATATCGGAATATTGTAATCCATCAGATTGGCTCGAGACCACGGGTGCACCCTCGGTGACACAATGCTCAGACCCTTCAAATTGATAAGTTATTTCTTCAAAACGGCCATGGATGGCGGCACAATGGTGGCGCGAACAGTGAAGTAGGTTTTTTCCATTCGTGGTCCTTGCGGGTAAGTAGTTGATTCGGGAACCGTTTGGCTCGCAACTTTGGCAGAAACCGTTGTTCTCGTGATGCGGGCTTTCTTCTAATGGACTTAATCCTTTTTTCCACTCGGGCACTAAGCAAGAAATTTCACCATCGATCATGTCGGCTATCTTATGGACATCTTGATTGGTGATATCCAACTCGAAAACCATTTCATTTGCAACACTAAATGCTGTGTCGGATTCAATGTCGAAGGGGAAGTAAATATTCCGAACACGCCCTGCAAATATTTAGTCACCAATAATAGCTTATCACACAAGTTCCTTTTGATTGTTAAACAATGAAAAGTATAGAAATTAAAGCCTTATATCTTTACCACCATATCATCAATTAAGCCACTCAACTATTTTATGCTGTGATTAAACCGATATACTTTTTGGACTGTTCAAAAAGACTACACTTTCCACAATCACCTGGTTTTGATATCATGGTTTTCAGGGCAAAAATACAGAAAAGCATTACATACTTCCCACCATTTTATCGATTTAGCCACTAAGCTATTATTAATGCAATAAGAAGAAAAAAAAATAGTTCAGTAGATAATTCTACAAAGCGGTGAAAGTATGTGTTGTCTTTCCTTATTTTAGCCCGTTACTGGAAAAAGGGTTATTCTTCCGGCCGCAGACCGCCCCCACCCATAGCATGAAGTGAGATGCAAATCGAGTACACAGCAGGCCACTAGATGGTTGGGGACAATCCACAATGGAATTAAAAATTCCCACCATGCGGTTGTTGAGCCTCAAACCCTTGACCTTTTCCACAAGTATACCATCCTCAACAAATGGATGGGAGGGGGCTATTTTGCCCATTTTCACAACCAGGTAGGTAACCTAGGGAAATGGTTTGTTAAGGCCGTAAAAAAAAAGTACAATGGTATAATCAAACAACATAACAAAGTTAAGTGACAAAATGCTGTCAAGCAATAACAATTTTCTACTGGATCTATAAAAAGGCACATACACATACCTTCTCTATCGGCAATTCGTAGTCTTAAGAAGATGCCATCGTCATCTCCCCTCCTTCCCTTGATAGAAATATCGATGTCTTCAAGATGGTCTTGTTCTTGGGTTGTGAACAATTCAATTTCATTTCCTTCAAGTTCATAACCAAGATAGTTTGAGTAGTTATCGGTTGGTGGGCTGTTGGTAATTAAATGATTATTTATTAGAGGCATTCCGTCAAAATCTCTCCAATAATCAATCGGCCTCAAATCGTAGCCATAATCGTCCGGTTGGAGAAAAGGGTCTTTGAGTAGCTCTTTTGCTGGAAGCCTAAGAGAAACGGTAACTAGACATTTCTCCACAAATTGTCGCACTTCGGGGTCTTTAACTTTGTACAGCGCATCAGGTTTTTTCCCCTATTTGGAAACAAATTAAGTTATATGATCATATCTTGAATGTGATTTGATGAATATATATATATATATATATATATATATATATATATATATATATATATATAAGAAGTTAATGAGTTGATACCGAGATAACTTTCTTGTAGATCTGAGCGGGATGAGTACATTCACTATAAGGATATTCAAATGTGACCATCTCCAAAATGCACATTCCAAAAGCATATATATCCACCAATTCATTGTATTCCTCGGCATAAACCTCGGGAGCCATGAATTCTGGTGTTCCTGAGAGCAAACAAAAAGTTGCAAATATCAAAAGGGTTCTTCCAACAACCCCTGAGCCCCAAGAGCATCATGTGAGATGTAAATCAGATATGGAGCCCAATCCCACAAATGGAAAGTGGGAAAGACGAATTTAGTTGACTGTCATACGAAAATGAGTTAAATAAATGCATCTGCGAATTACAACAACTGGAGCCGTTACATAAATGAACTACTTTAGATGGAATGCCATTACGACCTACTGCTAAAACCTCCCATAAATAAAATATGTATGCATATCTAAGTTTAAGATATACTGCTAATTCATCAAAAATAATGATATAAAAAAAATAAATAAATAAAATTGTTTGAGGTAGGTATGTATGTATCAATTATCATATAGTATGTTTGTGCAAAAATACAACACAGGAAAGAATTAAGGCAGTGAAATCAAGGAAGGGGGAACTCACCAACACAGCGAGCAGCATGAGATTTACGCAGAATGGCTGCAAGCCCTAAATCACCAATCTTGACTTCTCCTTGATTCCCATTAACAAAAATATTATCACATTTAAGATCTCTATGGATAACAGGAGGATCATGGCTATGGAGATAGAGCAGGCCTTTCAAGATCTGTCTACACCAATGTTTAATTGCTCTTAGATTAACCCTCCTGTGTTTCTGCCTATACCTAACCCCAAATTCCAAAATCAATCAAATATCAGATCAAGAAACGCCCTGGCTCCAAGTCAAAGATTTTGGGATCAACTTACTGTCGAAGGGTACCAGAAGTGAACATCTCGGTCACAAAATTCATGTTCCTGTTCGCAGTATCAACCCAGGATGTGTAGAATTTCATGATATTGTTGTGTTTCAAGGTTTTCAGTAGATGGATTTCACAGTATAACCTCTCAAGATCCTCGGGACTTTGCAGGAAATCATACAGCTTTACCTGATTCCAGGCCACTTCTATGCCTTCATACTCATCGAAAGCCCTATAACTTGAAATTTTTTTAAAGAAGAAAAAAACACAAATCGATTTGTAAATCCCACATGATTATCTCGAAATTTCGAATACCGATCAAAAGTTTAGCAAGTTCTTACACTGTCTTTGAAGCTCCCTTCCCCAAAATCTCATTATACTGAAACAAGATGAATCGGAAGTTTTTAACTCATCATGGACTAACAAGAACATCAAGAAATCAGAAACCCCAAAAGGGGAAAAGAAAAAGTTTGGATTTTTACCCTTCCATATCTTCCGGTAGGATCTACTTCAACGAACTCAGACTCATCTGAATTAAGAGATGCAACACCGCCATTCATTATTTACTTGAGGGAGATGGGGCTGGGCTAATCACGAAGATAGATGAAGATGGGTTTTACTGCAAGTAGTGCAATAATTGTGGAAAGAAGAGAGGGTAGATTGAGATGGAGATTGGAATCCTCCTCGTTGAGTCCATCAGAAAAAAAAAGAAAAAAAAAAAAAAAAAAAAAAGATTAAGGAAAGATAGTCGAGATATTTCAACAACTCAGAGACAACGAGGCAAAAGATTTCTAAAAAGGCAAACACACATAAAAACTCTTTCTTTTTTCCTTTAGCCCCACAGACAGAAGCACACACATATCATGACAAAAACACCTCTCTTTCTTTTCTTGTGTCCTCTTTTCTATCTCTTCACGAGCCACCCACAGTCCCCCACACACACACATGCAATGGTGCCTTTGTCTACATATCAAATAAATTGTAGCCGGTCTGAACAAATAAAAAAACAAATTGTATCCACCACTTGAAAATATGGTCATAAATTTGTTTAGACTTTTGCTTCCCATATATCCTTGTCCTAACCCATATTCATTCTCTCAGATATAAATCAAAAATAGTTTTTTATAGCTTTTTTAAGTTTTTATTTCATATGCACATCACACTTTGAGTATTTTCAATAGGATTTTTTTTAATATTTATTACTATTGATTTTTTTTATTAACCATTTATATACATATTAATTTTGAGTTTCCTTATACACATTAATTTAACCCCATTGGACCATCATTATTTATTTATTTTTTTTTCTTTTATTCTATCAATCTATTTTCTATCGGGGTAGTTAATGCCTTGCTTTCCAGACGTATAATCCCTGGTGAAATTGTTGAACTTGATCACATATACGTGTCAGCTTCTTCTTCTCTGCAGTTTTGTTTTTCAACCAAATGCTTACAAACCTCGCTGATGCACCCACCATCTTACCCTAATCTCCATGAGTTTATTTATTATCAAGGTTAAATGAAATGCTTACAGAGCTCTTCACCGACAATTGATCCGGGTAAATATAAACCTCTCACATAATCCATTTGAAAACTCTACATCTTCTCCGTTGATGGTTTTCATTGGCAGGATGGTTTTCATTGGCTTAAAATCATAACTGATTTCTTCCCACCGGAAAAGTGCTCCAAAGTAGTTATGGGAGGACTGTCATTTGTGCACCGCCATCAATGCATACACCAACGCAACCCATGTCTTTGTCTACGTACATGCACATAGTATTTACCACCACTGTTTGCCTCCATATGTTGAAGGAAGATGGAACTAGGTCGCGATGCTCCTATCTTATTGAAGCCTCGATTTCCTTTTTGCTTATCTCCACCTATATTGTATACTAGGGCATACATGGCTGGAAGCAAACAAGGGCAGTAGGACCGCCATGAACGATCGACTCCTACCAAGAACTTTATTGACTCCTACTTTCTATGTCACCACCATCGAACCGACAGTACACCACCATCGGGTTTCAACATGAGTTTTGTCTCTTGCTGTTCCCGAAGCTATTAAAAAGGTACTCTATTGTTGATTCTGAAGCTATTCATTCCTCATAGTATTGCATCAGTAGTTTACCAAATTTATCCTTATTATGTTGGTGAATGAACAACTTGGATTCCAATTTATAGAAAAATAGAGGTCAGGCAGAATTTTTAGCGAATGATTTGATGAGAATAACACAGATGTGCTATATTTTTTTTGAAATTTTGTTGATCTATTTTCATATTTTTCAACAATGAAAATGTACTCATATGAAGGAAATAACAAAACCATATAAAACAACCACCATATATGTTTGTATCAGTAGGTGTCAAAGACTTGTAGAAAAATTCAGTCTGATGTCTACTTTGTTTCGACCTTTCAACAATCTTTTAGCTTTCTTGATAGGGTCAAAAGCATCATTTTGAACTCAAATCCAAAGAATGTTTGGGTTCCAAAGAAGTCATTTCTAGAACCCATAAAGAAGAAGGAAGTTTGGGTCCCCAAGAATACATTTGCTCATCCTGAAACAAAAGCAATGCATTAGAGTTAGAAAGAAACATTAGAATCAAAAGTGTCCAAAAAACAAGAGAGTAGTACAAAATCCTCGAGCCAATGTCTCTTTTTCTGATCAGAATCTTTCAGATGTGAGGTATGTTCAAAAACTCAATCTCAAATGGGTTCCTAAATTTGGCACGATGTGGCTACTTGCTGCATCCAAGAATTAACCCTTCGAATTTCCCGATTTTCTCCAGAAAAAATGTCAATAACTGCCATAAAAACTCTACCCCAAACATTTGTCTATCAATGTTCTTGGCTTTGGGTGTTCTTGGTGAGTTTTTAAATGCACAAAATTTGATGTTAGTTTGCTGCATTAAATCTGTATGTTGGTCTAGCTTAGTATTGATATGAAATTAGTTGTATTCTTGCTTAATTGTTTCGTGAAAACCACTCTTTGCAATTTATTCAGTTTACCAATCTCGAGGGGAATTGATTTATCAATTGCAAATTACAGGAACAATAAAAGGAACATATGATATGTGTTTACTAATAGTGATCTTGAAGTCCTCAACTAATTGCAAAGATTTCCCTTTTGTTATGCAATGTTAACCCATTCTACCAAAATTTCAAACTAAAATTACTTATTCACCCAAGGTCTTTGTTACCAATTATTGGTTTTTATTACTGTTTTTGTAACAGGACTAGTGAGCATACATTATCATCATCACGTACTTCTTTAGAAATCAAGAAAATGAACGAGACATTTTGGTTTATAATTCTCAAGACTTCACATAAAAACAAGGGATTGGAGGCTGAAAACCCAACGATTGGAATCTTATCATTCGAAGGCTCAAGATTGATGTGTAAAGTAGTAAATTTATGGCACTGCCTAACTGACAGCTATGTGTCAAGACTAAAAGAAGAACTCAGATATTCACTTGGCACCCGTACACTTATTTTAGATGATCATTCTTACCTTATCAATCTTGCCCTATCAAAAATCATTGATAACTTAAAGGGTGTATCAATCTCAGTGGCTAGGCTTGGAAAGAAGTGTGTGGACCCCATGTATCATAATCTTGACCATGTTTTCCACACCCTATTTGAGATTTAATCTCAAATGGTGTGGATGGGAATATAGGTTGAAGAAAATGGAAAAAAGGGTTAAAAAGATGAAGAAATGTGCTAATGTTATGTCATAGTTGCATGAAGAAATTGAAACATTATCTGATTTAGAAACCAGACTAAAAAAAATGCAGTTAAACAGTGTCAACCAAAGCCAACTTCTTGAGTTCCACCAGAAAGTGATATGGCAACATGAGGAAGTAAATGGGTTACGTGACATGTTACCATGGGTTCGAACCTTTGACTATATTATCCAACTATTTCTTAGATCTCTTTTCATAATAGTGGAAAGGATAAAAAAAATTATTATTTCATTTCCATTTTGTAAATAGAAAACAATACTAAAGTTAAAATTGTACAAAGAGTCTATCGTCAAGTAGTTGACTTTCAATACAAACACCTTTAACCTTTGCAAAGCAATTGACTTTCAATACAAACACCTTTGACCCTTGCGAAGCAAGGGTTACCCCTCCAGTTTATTATTATTAGATCATATAATTTATTTGTGTTTTTGTATTAATCATTAAATATATATTGAATAGTTAATCTGTTTTTATGTTTTGTCATTTAACTTCTTCATATTTTAGTTACATTTCCATTATATCTTATTAAATATATTTTAGTTTTAAATATTTTTTATTTATTAACCAATTAATTATTTTATTAAATATTTAATGGCATTTTATTTATGAAATATAAACTTATAATGATTATATAATTTTTTCAATCTTTTTGTGACTATTCCGTAATAGTTTTTTCGTATTAAATTCATGAACGATACGTAGTAATATATTTTTTCTGTAACAATTTATTGTAATCTTTTTAATAAATTAAAAAACCATGTGCGTTTAAAACTTAAATAATTAAATAAGAACGTTTTTAAGAACTTTTTAGATAGATAATGGTAATTAGTTAAATTTGTATATAAAAAAATCTAAGAAAGAAACCAACCATTAGATAAGTTATTTAATTAGAGGTTAAAGTTTTTTGAATTGGTGCTCAGACCATAATTTTAAGTTTTATTATAATTTAATCATTGGGATGCTCTTACATATTTGTATATGTTTATTTAAGAAAAATTGAATGTACGAACTATCTAGTTATATTATTTTTACTTCATATTTGTATATGTTTATTTTGGAAAAATCTTATACCGGATGAACGAACTATCTCTTATATATTTTAAGTTCTATTATAAATTATTTTGGAAAAATCTTATACCGGATGAACCAAGTATCTCTTATATATTTTAAGTTCTATTATAAATTATTCATTGGTGATGCTCTTACATATTTATGTTTATAACAAAAATCAAGTTTAAAAAGCTATGATATATATATATATATATATATATATATATATATATATATATATATATATATATATATATATATATATACACACACACACACCATTATATCAATCATATATAAGTATGGGACCACCAAAAAGTCTTTGGCCTAGCGGTAAGGTGTGACTCTCTCAAATAAGAGCTCATGAGTTCAAGTCTCTTAGGAGACATAGTGGTATTTAGGAGTAGGTTACTTAGTTTGCTATTTCAATATATATATATATATATATATATATATATATATATATATATATATATATATATAGTTAGAATCAAATGTGAATGACAAGTATTGTGTGAATGTGCGACCAAATTGAGACCATTAGATTAAAAGAATGAATGGTTGTGATCTTAAGGTACATGTTATTATCATAGAATAGCATTTACTATAAAATTTGACTTAATTAATTATAATAACAAACTTGACATATTATTAAGAGAGAGAAATTTAATATTAGCTACATATTAGGAAACTAACTCATATTAATTAATAAAAAATAAATGAAATCTTTGATTAATTACATTAGATTTTTTAGAACACAATTTCATTCAACACATTCAAATTTGTTTTCAAATTCATTTCACACATTTTTCTTTCATTAAAGAGATTTTTTTTATGTCAACATTCTTAAAGAATACGAATGAATATTTTCAAGAATAACTGTTTGCATCAAAATAATAAGGGAAAATGACTCTTGAGGGTAATTAACTTTTGCGTTTGTACTCAT